GTGACAGACTCGCGTTTTCTTTTTTTCTCGTGAATTTTCTGCCGAATGAGAACACATTTTTTTTCGCGTGAAGGAATTTCGAGGCTTGGTTTTTGTTCTGAAATGATGAAGCAAATCAGGGTTTTCTGAATATTTAAATTATAGTACCGAATTGAGAGAAACGTGAACTGCGGTAATTTTTAAACTCATTTTTGAAGCTGGATTCAAGTTTGACTCAATGATGAATTGTGCTCGTTACTTCGAACGAACGCATGCTCAGATATGACGCAGAGCAGATGTTTTGAAAGAATAAGTTCGACAGCTTCCATACGTAGGGGATTGTAAAATGTCATTTTCTTGACGTTCATTCTTAATTGAGGGTAAGAGTGTCGAGCTCGACATTATTTTGTACCTTGAAGCGTTTGAAGTTTTTCTTTCTAATTATTTTTTCTCGCTTGTGTCGAGAAAGGTCAAAGTCCCTGGATATTTTCCCATGAGGAAAACTAGTTCCCTCTTATTTTCTCGCCCGGAATTGTATACGATTTCATCGCAGTCATTTTTCATAGCGGAGTTGTTTTCGTGAGGTCTTTTGCGGAAAATCAGAGCAATCTTGGTGGCATTTTCCAGGCCTTGGTTGTCAGGCGAGAGAGTGGGTTTAGAAAGTAGGTTTAATGTGTGGACGTATAGTCATGATTTTTGGGCATTTCTTTCGCTTTTGAAAACGCCTAACTCGCGGATTTTTATAATTTCCAGTTAAAGCGCGAACGCTCTTAAAGTTCATTTTTTTTATCTTACACAGGTGTCACTTGCAGTTTTTAATACTTTAATTACAGCAGGGCCCCGACTCACGGCGAAAAATCTTGAAAAAAAAATGCTCTGAAATCCAGACGTGTCAATTTTAAAATTTAATGCGAATGGAAAAAATTAGTTTTCACAATTTTGATATCCCTTGAGAAAATTGATTTGATATATTTATTTTTGTCGAATTTTAGTGGATTTAGTCCCGGTTATTATCATGTTGAGACAATTTAAATTTCGGAAGTTAATTTTGATCTTCTGACCATTTAGGTTTTCAAGTGATACCGGTTGAAATTCCAAAGAATGATTTCAAGCAATATAATGGAAAACCTGATTTTTGTTGAGAAGGAAAAAGTGAAGTTGCTCTTTGGCAACGAGGTCATATTGCAACCCAGGTTCTGACGAGTTTGATCAATGGAAGAGTGTGATTGTGGATGAGTTTTGGAAAGTTTTGTCCTTGGGGTGGACTTTTCGGCGATAATCTATTGATGTTCTTTGGCAACGAGGTCATATTGCAACCCAGGTTCTGACGAGTTTGATCAATGGAAGAGTGTGATTGTGGATGAGTTTTGGAAAGTTTTGTCCTTGGGGTGGACTTTTCGGCGATAATCTATTGATGTCGAGGCAGGGATGTTGAAAGCTTGATGATGTATCACGCCAGAAAGTTTTAACGCACAAAAAAGGAAGAGGAAAATGCCCGTCATTATTGTGTTAATTCAGGAATAAGACTGTGTAGAGAATTTTATTTTTAAAGTTTTTAGTATCTCGTTATTTTCTATTGGAAGATTTTGCTACATGAATAATGTTTAAAAAAGGAATGGGTTGACCTTCTGTATGACATGAAGTGTAGGAAAATATAAAAAAAAATTCTGTACCACAGTTCATCGCGTTATGCTTTAATTCCGGTTGAAATTATTTCGCTGAAAAGACACAATGTGATGATAAACAGTCTGTGCAATGAGTAGGACATCACCAGATCAAAATAATAATTCTTTTTCACTGAAAAAATATTTCTCTTAGCGCTGATAAATCTTCATTTTCCCTCGAATATTTTTGCATCAACTTTTTATTGAGTCGGGGAATTATAGTTTTTAAAGCGTTTCTGGAGACGGTATTTTTGTGTGCAACTCTTGAATTCACAGAAATTACCAAAAAAACTTCTTAAGAAGCCTCTTTGCAGTAATTGAAACTTTTCTTGTACAATATTTCCTCTGAATATTCTTGCGCATTTTGTGTTCTTTGTTTTGCAGTGTTTTTCTGCTGGCGAATTGTTTCACGTTTTCGGTTTGCTGCCGGGGACGAACTTTGTGGATGAGGATGCGTTCATGCAATTGTGCCCTGCGTTGATCTATGAACTGGAAGCGAAGACGTGTGACGATGACTCGAGGGATAAATCTTCATCGGAGCAGGGAGCAGAGAATAAGAAGAGTGTTAACTCAGCTTTGACGTATTGGGAGAGTGAGTTTTGTTTTTGTTTGTTTTGCTTCAGAGTACCCTCTTGACACTTGTTGGAATCATCATCATTGGATGGATGGATGGATGGATGGTACTTGATCCTTGTTTTTTTTTTTTTGTTTGATGGATATATTCTGTTGTTGTCGCCGGTAGTTTGGTCCTACGCGACGGGAAGCGTAGTGTTGATCAGTTTGTGCGGATTGACGGGGGTCGGGGTGGTTCCTATGATGAAGCACTGCTTTTATGGGCCCCTGCTGCAGTTCCTGATTGCCATGGCCATTGGGGCTCTCATGGGAGACGCTTGCTTGCATCTTTTGCCTCAGGTTTGTTGGTTTTTAAAATTCGGTTTATATATATTGTATTGCTTGAGACATTGTTTTCCCAAATCGCGAAGAAAAACGGGAGGTTTTGTACTAAACTCGGGTCTTAAGATTTTCAATTGAGTAATATTAAATTTTAGTAATCCCTGGCAAGTTTGTGCGCTGAACTTCCTGAATTTCACAAATTTTATGGACAAGAGGCTGAAATATCTCTTTTTTCACCATTTTGAAATTCAGGGGGTTTTTTTCACGCAGAAAAAATCGTTGATTGAAACATGTTTGTTCCGGGATTCTTTCATTATGCGTGGATGCCCTGTATTTTGCTTTGTAGAGGAAATTTGATTTAAAATTTATCTTTGATCTGGGTAGTTGGTGGACGGACTTAAGTTTTTATTTGTAATTCGGTGGTCCTATACATTTTTTTTTGTTGCAAGAAAAAAATACCGTGCTATTCCTCTTCTTGCGCGAGGGTTTAATCACCTAATAATTACTCTGATGATAATTATTATTATTCATGCCATGATTTTGTAGGATTATTAACTTTCTTTTTCGATGTTAGGCGTTGTCGACTGCCAATACACACGCGAAAAGCACATCAGCGGGGATGAGACATGATGGAAAGCATGAAGGTGAGCATTCTCATGACAAGGACCAGCTTTGGTGTATTCTCGGAATGTTGGCGGTGATGCTTGGATTTTTCATCGTGGAAAACACTTTGCCGTCATTTTTGGCGTGGCGTGAAAAGCACGTCGCTGCTAAGGTGAGGTTTTAAATAAAAAAAAAAGGAATCTTTTTTAAAATCTTCGAGCGTTACGTTACAAGGGGACGCTTCATTTCCGCGCTCGTTTCATAAGAAAATGTTTAAGTACTGTACAGTACAAGGGTTTTTTTGAAAAGCGTGTCATCCATTTTGGTTCCACTTTCACGCCTCTTTTGAAATAATTCTCTGTTGTTTGGAAAAGATTTCTCGAACTCTTTTGATCCAAAAATTGTAGCATCCGACGCAAGTAACAATTTTGCTCATTTTTCTTCAATCCTGGCCCCTTGAGCAAAATGCTGAAAGATCATCTGCTTCTTCCCTTTAAAATCGTCGTTAGTAGTAACATTGGGCGGTTGTGAAATTGAAAAGAAATGCGAAGGAGAAGAATTAATGCAGAAAAGTTTTTACAGTTGTCAGATTATCAAAAGATAGGATTAAATGCGAGGGGTCTAACAAAAGTTCTCGGGATACAAATTTAAATGACGGATGAGTGAACTAAAAAACAATGATTGTTCAGAAAATACATTCTTTGGCACAAGAGAAAAGCAATTCAGCTCTGTTTGACACTTTTTTTGCAATTTCTTTTGAAAATGTCGCCTGGCAGCTTTCTGCTTATCACTCGAAAGATGAGGCGCCCATTCCGCAGATTTTTGGTTTAGCCCAGCCTCTCCTTCAGAATTCTTCGAATTGACATGGCATTAATTCCAAGGGTTGCCTGAAGGTCTTCCGAAGTCATTCTGCTATTTTCATAAAAAGCCGCCACATTCTCATTCCAAGTGGCGGCTGGTGTTGAAAATGGCGGTATTGATAATCAGTGAATGGCGGCAACCCCTAGAATTTACAGAATTTGGAAGGGATGGCTGGGGTACGCTGATGAATACGCGAGATGGGCGCCTCACGTGAAGTCAAGAGCAGGAAGCTGCCAGGGTGACTTTTGCAAAAATTTTCTGCGAAGTTTTCAAAAACGGCCAATTTCTTTCTTCTTGTGCCGATGTGCCGAAGGATGTATTTTTTGAACAATAACTGTTTCTCAGCTCAATCCTATGCTGTTTCAATTGATTTTCCGAGAAAACCTGTTTGATTCCTCGCACTGATGGGAGTAGTGAGACATTGGATTTGCTGCAGAAATCAGACGTGCCTTTTGCAGATTAAATTGTTTTAATTTTGATGTTGCATTCAGATGGATGGTTGTTCAAATTTTGTTGTTTCAGAATCAGAAAAAGAACCAGGGGAGTGAGAGCAACAACAAGATGGAGATGCACAGGAAGCGGTGTGACCTGAAGAGTCACGGACTCGCCAGTGACCAGTATCGCTATGACAACCAAATGGTGTCCCACTATATGGGTGAAAAACTTTGTAAGCCCGCCATTCATGTTTTCCAACCAGACCCTCTAGTTGCCGGAGAAAAGAACCTTGGAACTGAGACAGTTTTGGTTAGCAAGTGTGGAGATCAAAGAGACAACCATGACAGTATTTTGCGAGCCAAGAAGGCGGAGCAAGTGTTGATGGACCAGTTAGGTATTGTTGGTGGGGAAGATGGAATGCCTTGTTTTTTTTTTTTTTTTTTTTTTTTTTTTTTTTTTTTTTTTTTTTTTTTTTTTTNAAGGACGATTTTTAAGCGGCATTATTTAGCAAAAAATTGAATGACCTTCTGTGCCACTCTTTGGTGTTGTGGCTAAAAATGTAGGCCAGATAAAAATGTTCATAGCATTTCCATCTAAAAAATGTTGTTGCCTTCTGTTATGTTCAGAAATACGAGAGAGGAAAAATGGAAACTATCTTTCTTTCAAGTTTCAAGCTACTATAGTTAATCAAGAAACATATCAGGATTTGCACCTCATTTTCCCATGGTGTAATGTTGATGAAAAAGTCCACTTGAACTTCTGAAATGATTAATTTGATTATTTAATAACTTCATACCAAACATTTGCAGCCTCGTTTTCTCCCCTTTTAATTTTGTAATTTAAGTGCTTGAGTTCCTTGTATGAATGCGGTATGTATATACAGTACTGTGCTGTATTTAAAAATGGCAATAATAGTACTGTATATCAGTGCTGTATTGAGTCTGATGCATAAATAGGAAACAAATGGATTAAAATGCACATGGAGGTGAAACTGTTCCAAGTTCAAGTTTGACTTTTTGCTTTCATAATTTTTGAGGCATTGCAGTTGGGATTACATTTTCTTCCCTCTGTGGCAGCTTCTTTTAAGATGTAAGTATAGTTTAAAACACTTGAAGAGAAGTTGAGACATGCAGGTTTAGGCCTGGTAAGCCCTTTTGGAAGACTTTTCTTGGATCACTTTCAAGGTTCTGAACCAATTAAAATTATTACAGTGTTTTCTTGGGGGGAAAATGGGATTTGGCTGATGAACTTTGCTCAGGAATGGATTACATATTCAGTAGCCAAGACTCCACTGTACTCTCAGAATGGTCATTTCCTGCCAAATAGAAGTACACCCTTTCGAAGCAGTAGAGTTAAAGTTGAATTTAAGTTTAAAATTGGCTTTAGTGGTTATTGAAATTTTAAATTGGACTCCATTTATCCTCCCACCCTGTTCACTTCAGAAAAGTGAACAGGTCAGAAAAAATCGTTTAAATCAACGAATTGACATTCCTCCATGGTATCAGGATCTAAACATGGATTTTTAACCAGGCTTGATGCGTCATCTATTTGAGGTTTTTGTATGACATCAACCGGGCTTCATTAGAAAATAGCAACCAGCATGAGGTGATGAATGACCGATGGGTGCATGTTGTTCGCTTGTCAAAGGTTTCAATGATCTAGTACAGTAATGCCCTGGATTTCATGAGCTACCCCTGGCAATCTTGATAAATGGGGCCTAATTCCGGAAGAAAAAGAAGAGGTTCATGTGCCTTTGGAGTAGAGCTTTTGTTTTAGGTGGCTTATGTCTGTTTCTGGTATGGGAATTTGATTGTTTGGATATTGCTGTATGTTTTTTGGGTTCAATGTGCATTCTTTATTGTGAATTGCAGGCAGAGAAGAAGGACAGTGTGAAGTGGTAGCCTGTGACAACATTCCGTGTTCGGACCAGTCTTGCAACAAGGACTCTTGCGTGATTGTGACAGAAGGGGCTTGTGGAGGTGAGATGCCTGACCAGTGTCACAGCCACGCATCGACGAGCAACAACAATGACGGGCTCATGCCTTGCTTCCTCGCTGTAGTGAGTTTTGTGAATTTTTGCATCAATTATCAAGAACTGAAGACTGACATTTTCCTTTATTTTTTTATCATCATCACAGAATCACAAGGATGGAAAGCATCAGTGTGCTGAGGGTATAGAGTTGAGTGGATGTGAGAAAAGAGTCATTACCTCAGAGCAAGATGTGAGTTTGGATGACGTGAATATTGTAATGACGGCTCATATTGATTTTATCCTCAACCTGAATCTTTGGAATGTACGGTATACTAAGAAGTGGCCACAAAAAAATAACACGTGAATTAATCAATGTAGAGTTTTCTCGAATGTGGGCTGGGGTAATATAAAATACTGTACAAATACATCAAATACTTTATTCATCAAATACATTTTTGATGAATTTTCTGGCAGAAACTTCCTACAGGCACAGTCTGAAATTTCTGATTGAAAATGTGGCTGACAGGGAATTTTGTAACATGGATGGAAGCTTTAATCAATGAAAAACCAGCTTCAAAGTGGTTCCATGCATCATCCTCCCAGACTGAAGAGATTGGTGTAATTGATGGAATGCATGACTGAAGCCAATTTTTTTTTTGAAAAGTTGTCCCAGCTTTTCAAACAAAAATGAAAACATCAGAGAATGCCAGAAAAGCAAGACCCAATTGATTAGAGGCAGGTCTGATGCAAAAAAGTTTTCCAGTCATTAATTTTGAAAATATTTATTTAAAAAATTATTCAGTACTGTATAACAAAGGTCTTTAGGAGTCCACAAAATTTGTGGTAACAATATTTTACTGTAAAATATTTCAGACCCAGCAGATCTCTAGATTGTCTAGAAGTCTCAGGTGACATCTGTGTAAGAACAAAGAAGACGTTGTTTCGGTCTAACTTCAGTTTTCTAATTTATTTTCGATTTTTCTGAGCAGGTGTTGCATGAACTAAAAATTTGTACATGAGAACTAGAGTAATCCTGAATATAACTGCAATACTCTACTATGACTTGATGTGAACCTACTTGACCTGAGCTGTCCTAAACTTGAAAATTTGTGGCTAACTGAACAAGTGACACTTATGTTGTGGCAAAGAAAATCTCAGAATTTGGAGACGTTTGAGGTTAATGAGAAGAATTTGGAGTATTGGCTTGATTTTCAACTTTCCCCTGACAATTTTGAAAATTAGCAAAAAGAAGGAAGAAACATTATTTTTAAATGTTTATTTTTAGCGTGATTGGATAAAAGTGGAGCCTAAATTAATTGCTTGGCATGACCCCCAACAGTTGCAGAATTGCAGCAGCTCTCGGCGGTGTTCGGGGAAATGGTCAGTGACGGATGGGGCCAGCACGGGTGCCCATGGGGACAACAAGCGATCG